CTCTGACCATCTTCATGGCCCTTGTCTGACCAGCTCCCAGCTCCATGTCCTTCATGTGTTGGGGCCCTACAGCTGGACTCAATATTGCAGGTGGGATCTCACAAGAGCAGAGCAGAAGGGCTGAATCACCTCCCTCAACCTCCTGGTCACTCTTCTCTTGATGTAACCCAGGATATGGTTCTCGGCCTTCTTGTCCACAAGTGCACACTGCCGGCTCATGCTGAGTCTTTCATCAACTGACACTCTCAAATCCTTCTCATCAGAGCTGCGCTCAAGCTATTCTCCACCCAACCTGTATCTGTGCCCCCATCCAGGTGCAGGACCTTGCACTTGGCCCTGCTCAGCTTCTTGAGGTCCACCTCTCAAGCCTGCCCAGGCTGCAGATGGCATCCCTTCCCTCTAGTATGTCAATCCAGCCATTCTTAGAAGAAGCACTGGAACTCAGTCTGCGAAGCTACAGATACCCATTATCCAGAGAATATCTACTTGCAAATATCTACAGCATCAAACACTGCAGCTTCCACCAGATGCCTCTGCTGCGAGATGTCTCACTTTTGCTACTATTCTCCTGCTATTGAGGCTAACTCTCATCATCCATCCAATCTCTAAGATCTGAAAGCAGTTACTAACAGTCTTCCCTGTCACCCAAGCAAGAAGTACTCAAAGACAAAAAAACAAGTTTCTCTGATGGTCAACCAAATAACAAATGTTTTAGAGCTCCTTGGCTGCAGTTATACTGAGCCTAACTACTTTTCAATATAAAAGTTCATCATATCAGTTTTTCTATTCTAATATTTCTTTCTTCAATGAAATTTTTTACATCAGCTTGTTTACCGACTTTATTTAAAACCAACTAAGAAGGCAATAAGTTTTCTCAGGTCTGAAAAAAAAAAAAAAGAAGAAAAAAAGCTTGTGTACTAAGCATTCATTGACAAATATAGTTCAATGTTAAGCTTTACAGTCTTTTAAACTTTAATGTCCATAAATGTTATGTCAAGCTGGTAACCACTGTAACAGTGGGCATCATCATAGCATCAGTCTTCTACCACTCCTTCAGTAGTGCCCCACTACTGAAGGCTTAAAAACGTTTTTTTTTTAGATACCTAAATAAAACTTCGAAGTTCTGATATTTCTTCTGAAATATCTTTGATAAAAAATTTACTAGGTCAGGAAAAGAATCCAGCCTTAGCTGCCATTTTAGCATGCATTCAAAGCACTGCTGAAAGGCTACCATCTGAAATAAATATCTCATTTTCCTACTATAACATTCAACTTCAGAGTATAAATCATGTACAGTCTATTACTGATGACTCAGAAAAGCCACAAAACACAGGACTTCATCTATTTCTGGATGCTCACGAGAAGACAAGTGAATCAAAACCTGTTACAGACAGTTGTGACAGTTAATAGCTTTAGAAACTGGGTAAAATAACTTAAAAAGAAACTTGACAGAAATTATGGACATAATTGGTATATTTCACAAATGATATAAAGAAAGACAGAGGAAAAAGAAGTCAAAGCCAAAGGTAAGTTATACTTGCAGTAACAACACAGCCAAGTACCAGGCTGACATCCAGGAAGGATGATTTGTTCCAAGCAAAAAACATCACAGAATATGACAAAAAACATGTCAGCAGAGTCATGCAAACGTATGATCCAAGCTAAAGCTATAAAATGGGCAAGGGAAAACTGAATATAATGCAGACATTATTTGACTTTAAAAATTAGGAAGTGACAAACCAGTGCACTGCAAGGAGAGGACAGATGATGGAATTAAATACAGAATTACAGTCACTGAAAGGAGAAAAGAGAGCAACATCACCTTCCTTAAACTGAAGGAGAAGTGCAGAAGTGAAAGGCAGGCAAAAAAAAAAGAAACCTACAGATGGAACGAGTGAGATTATCCTGATAATTCATTCTTAGGAAAGAGAGAGGAAAATAAAAATTAAAAAAAATAAAAAGAAAAAAGAGATTGTAGGCCTATCAACTCAAGAATAAAGTAAGGTTTAAGAAACTCAAGAATAAAGTAAGGTTTAAGCTACGCATCTGACGTGACAGGAGAGCTCAGTTTTGCAGAAATGAAAGTTGATTAGTCCAGGGAGGGAAGGGAGAAGACGGTGGAACAGAAAATGAATCTCAATTGACACCAGTCAAAGGACCGAAAGGACAAATGTCAGCAGCAATCGAATGCTATAAGCAGCTCTGGGATTTGCCAGAGCTTGCTTTCTGCAAAAGTAAATACCTTTTCTATTTCAAGAGATGTTTCATATCTCCAGTGAAATTC